ACTGCATATTTCTATTGTAAGGCTTCGCCTATACTATTAATTCCTCTCTGACCCTACTATCTCCGGAAGTCTTCGCCTAGGTTCTTCTAATCAGGTACTGTCATCGTCTCATGCCAACTCTTCAGTTTCCAGTAGCCCCAAGCCAAAACCGGTAGCACCAAGTCCGCTTATGCCAAACACATGATTGCCATCTACCACGTCAACTGGATATGGAAATATAAACACTATGTAACCTATGCCGATTGTTTGGAGGGGTAAGCCAAATCCCCACTTTTTGTCGAAATTTTTGGAAGACTAATGGGAGGGCAAGTAAAAGAAAAAAAAAGGACCACCTGGCCAAGTAAAAGAGTATAGCTTGAAGAAAAGCAAATACTTGTTATTTTCTCTATATTCCTCATTTAAAGTAACAGTCTAAGTGCTTCATTGACAGAAAAGACTCCAGTCTCTCCACCAAGATTTTGTATCCAAGGGCATACACCTCCTGCTAGTTATCTTGTATACCAATACTCTTGGCTTGCATGCCAAATGCACAGCTTATAAAGGAGTTTCAGAAGAGAAAAACCATTAACCTCTAAGCAAACCACACATTAGACCACAACTCTCAAACAAGATTTTTGTTTTTCTTCAGTAGGAAATTCTGGTTCAGATGATCGTTAAGAAGAGTTGTCCTCTCTTTTAATAATACAATATAATTAATTCAAAAATTATTCCTATTTATTCTATTTGATTTAATTTAATTTAATGTGGATTAATTTAATTTATAGGTAATTATTTTGATTTATATTATAATCTATTTAGTGATTTTCTAACTTAAATTTCTAAAATATTAATATAATATATACTTAGTAGTTTTACTTATTGTTATTATCTTTAAGCATGTTCGAATTAATGCGATTTAATTTACTACCTGTAAATTTGACGTAAATTTTTGCTTTCTATTTTGCTATATTGCGAAATATCTTACGTAATATTTCATAATATCTTATATAATATTTCGTAAATTAATATTTCGCAAGGTTTCAAAACATCTTAAATTATATTATGCCATTTTTATGGGTCATAATTTATTATATAATATTACGCCCTATTAAATTTGCTAATGTAGTATATATAAATATCTTGGTTATTATTTTAATTTAATAAATATTAAATACTTGTGCATAGTGTTAGAAAAATTATGCATTTTGAAAATCGATGTTTTTTTGAAAAAGATGCAGTACATTGAAAAAATAAGAAAGAGGTCTTTTTTTTTTTTAAGTCTTTTTTTTCTTTTTTTCCTAAGCTAATTTTTATTATTTTTTTTTCTCTTTCTTTTTAACCTGCTTTTTTTTTGAAAATTTACTTTTTTTTAAAAAAAACTTTGATCAAAGATATTAGCATTTTATAAAGGATACTCGAACTAAAACTGTACATATAATTAATATGGAAAACACACTACTGGCAACAGGCACCACTTGTCTCTCACATGTACCTGTAGTAAGTAGCAGTGCATAAACCGGATCCGAATCTGGGTCCAAATGGACAGTTTTGGAGGACCTGCTACTGGCAAAGCATGTGACAGACAAATAGAGCTTAATGCCAGTAGTGTGTTTTCCATATTAATTATACGTGCAGTTCAGTTCTGGTATCCTTTGTGAAATGCTAAATTTATACCCATCAAAAATACCAGATCTTTTTCTGCAGAACACCACTCGATAACCACCAAATCAAATTCGATGAATTTTTTTTTTTGTTAGAATTCTACGAGTCTATAGAATTAAAATAAAAAAAAATTTATCGAATTTTTGTTGAGATACCTTCAATAAATGTTTTAAAAAAAAGTGTTTTACATGGGTGTGGAAATACCAAACTTTTTGTTTATAAAAAACCTTATTGTATGAATTAATGGCTGAAGCTGAAAATTAGGGACCTTGATTTAAAAATAAAAACCCTACCAAAATTCACTTATACTCTTTTATTATTAAAACTACTACTTAACCCTAAAAAAAAACCCCTAACAAAAGGCCCAAAAAATTTTTGTAAATTTCATATTAAAATAATTAAAATTTCCAGCTTCAGCCACGACAATTATTGTGCAAATTATTGTAACTTATATGCAAAGTCAATGTTTTCTTATTTTTATTTTATTTTTTTAAAAAAAATATTAATTTTTTATCTTTATTTTTTTTTTTGGCGATGTAAACGACTATGTAATTCGGTAATTATTTCGCCAATCAGAGACAATATTAACCACGCCAATCAGAAGTGGCGGGAAATTAGGGCTCTCCCAGAACACTTTTTTCGCCATGGCAGGGACACGAAAGAAATTTTTGGCAAAACCATAATCGAAAATCATATACGATAACGATAATCGAAATAATTTTTACGTGCCCAACAATCACGTGTAGATATAGCCAATCAGACAACCGAACTTTATTATACGTAGCACATATCGTCTGGTTCAAAACCAGTTTAAAAAATTCCTTAACATTGAATTAGTAATCTGTCAAAATGTCTCTTCAGAATACTCGAATACTATTCGTAAAGAGGCCTTCTGGCCTATTTGACCCAAATGAAACCTTTAAAATTGTAAAAGAACCAGTACCGTCGCAAAATGATTTGTCTAATGGACAAATTTTAGTAAAGAATTATTATTTGTCTTTGGATCCAGGTATTCTATTTTGCTCACTGGTGATGTGTCGAAAATTTCTCTTCTCTAATACTTTTATAATTAGCGATGCGTGGAATTATGAATGACGTTAGAAGGTAAACTCTTTCGCATGAATACAAAATATTTCTTCAGCATGTACTGATTCATTTTATGAACAGTTATACTCCTCCCCTTGGTAATTCTTAATTTATACATTAAGCCAATTCTCGAATTTAAATTATATATTGACGATAAACTTGCTTTTATGGTATATAGCTATAAATGAATTGATGCGTGGTAACACTGTTGGTGGTAATGTATTCAGGGTAAACTAGATGTTGCTACTGAAGATATACTTTACTGTATTACTTTTAAAATTATTGGATCTGAAATGTCGGAAGTCACATGACCGAGCATCTCTAAGCTACTAAATGCAATTATTATTAATTTCAACTATTTGAATTATTTGCAGAAGTTGTTATATCAAAAAATTCTAAGTTCAAAGTCGGTGATAAGGTTGAGGGGCTCTTAGGTAATATCGTGCTTTTTTTTATGGTTTGATATATATTATTTTTGCGATAATTCAGTATCTATTTTTTTTTCTGAGCAGGTTGGCAAAAATACGCTGTTAGTGATGGAAAGGATGTTGCTAAAATTGTGTATGTTTTCCATGTGATTTGTTCTAATATGTATTAGTATTGGCGTTATATGTCATAACCAAATTTTGAATAGTCCACCACCTAAGGCATCCCTTCGTGATTACCTCGGTTTGTTTGGTATAACCGGTTTGACCGCATATTTTGGACTATTAGACGGTAAACCTTTCAATTTTTTCAAAATTATAAATTTTCATACTGATAATATCTTGTATTCGTGTTTTCGATTAAATAGTTGGTAAGTATTTAAATAATTTTACAGTGTTTGTGGTCACATTTCACAATTATTTTCACTTTACACTGTAGGTAAAGTAAAAGTTGGTGAAACTGTTGTTGTTTCTGGTGTAAGTTCCTGAAAATTCTCATATCATTTCCACTATTTCCATCTATATAGTTATATAATTTTTTATATTTTAGGCTGCTGGTGCGACAGGAAGTGTGACTGGTATGCATGTGTTTATTTATGTAATTTAAGAACAGGATTATACGTTTGTCGATGTATTTTATATTTACTTTCTTATAATTGTTAGGCCAAATTGCAAAGCTAAAAGGTGCAAGAGTAATAGGCATAGCTGGTACTCCTGAAAAATGCGCTTGGCTAGTAAATGAATTAGGTTTCGACGTTGCCTTAAATTATCGCGATCCCGATTTCTCTAAACAGCTAACCAAAGCAACACCGAATTATATTGATGTATACTTTGATAATGTCGGCGGTGACATATTAAATCTTTGTTTAAAAAGGTTAGCAAAGTATGCTAGAATAGTATTATGTGGAGCTATCAGTCAATATAACGAAAAGCTTCAGAAAGGACCTTCTAATTATGTTGCTCTTATTGCTCAAAGCGGTAGGATGGAAGGATTTATTGTGTAAGTAATTCGGTATAACTCAGTGTTAGTCATCTTATAAGTCCAATAGTTTGGCTTATATGTTCCGATTGGAATCTGTAAGTCCAAAAAGTATATAGGTACTAAAATTTTTTACTAATTTATTTGACAGCTATAATTACAAAGATCGATTCCAGGAAGCAATATCTGATCTCTCAAAATGGTTGCAACAAGGAAAACTTAAAAGAAGAGATTATGTAGTTGAGGGGTTGGAAAATGCACCCCAAGCATTATTAAGATTATTTAAGGGTGAAAATACTGGTAAAATGCTGATTAAAATTGCCGATGAAGATGAAAATGTCAAAAGTAAACTTTAAATAGTGTTGGATGTTTATTATATTCATTCATCAAATTAATTTATATAACAATCAAGTAGTAGTTATTGTTTATTTTTACAATTCTATATATCAGCGAAAGTTTTCGGTCCAATCACTGTATTCAAAATTTCTTCTGTAAAGTTAAAAAAAATTTCGTCATTTTTCTTGGTAGCATCTAGCAGATCTTCAACATTGCCACTCCTTGCAGTAAAATTTATATGATGAATGATCTCTCGTAACTTATCGTCACGTAAAAATTCTTTTATTTTTTCCGACTTTGCTATTAATATCATAAACGAATGAATTAAAGATCATTACTATTGAGAGTTACCAATTTTTCCTACCGAGCTTTTCTAACTGTTCAGGACGTAGAGCCATATCATCCTCTTCTTCGTCATCTTGAAATATATATTGATTCATATCCTCCTCCTCTTCGTCGTCTAGAAGCACAGAAGTATTTATATCATTCAAATCATCCATGTCGTCTTCTACGCCTTCATCAATCTCGTCATCCACATCGTCATCATAAATTTTATTTACTAAACTCTTCTGTTCACCTGGGAACTTTTCGTGTTCCATTTTCAAAGAAAACGTGCAAAAAAACGTCTTTGGACCGTATCGAAAAACTTATATTTTAACGGATTTACTAATTCCCCCCCAAATTCCTATTGGCCGAATGCAAATTAACACATTTCAAACCAGATCACAAGGGTAAATTGCATTTTTAAATGCCAATTTCAAGGGTTTCTTAAAATGAAACTACATTCACGAGACATAAAGTACTATAGTCAAATGATACACATACTCTTATATTTAAAATGAGATAAGTAACAAATTTGAAAAGAATGTGGCCCTTGAAGTTGGTGTTTTGTTTCATTTATACACTATTTTGCTTTTATAAACTTACCAATTTCGGTTGAAAAATTAGAACTATTAAAAAAGGTCGCAAGTTATAACTACTGTACAAAGTATTAGTTTTGATTTTCAGTAAAATTTGTCAGGCTTAAAAATTGTGTGATTACAAAAAAAATATTAAGCTAGTTAAATTAGAATTATTACTAATAAGATAAAGATAATTTATTAAAAATTCAATAGGTTGGTTTAGCTACTACTAGAGCTATTTTTATATAATTACGGTATACTAAAAAATATTAGGTTATTAAACAATAAGACTAAGTTTAGAGCTAATATCAGGAAAATTTTAAATTAGTTTGCAATCAATTAACAAAAAGAAATATCAATTGGTAAGTAGCATTCCTGCCAATTACCTAGTAATACTAATTAGAATTTATTGACAACAAAGCTGCTAATTAAAATTGATTAGAATTGCTTTGATTAAAATTGATTAATATCAAAATTATACTAAAATTAATCAATTATACATATATCAATTAGCTACCAATATTGATTATTATTAATATTTCTAATCAATAATAATGTTAGTAATTAATATTCAATTTTTTTTTTTTTTGGGTTCAACGGTAACCACTTTATTACATCTGAATAGTTAAGTATATTACATAGTAGTACAGCAGCCTAGTTTATATACATTTCTATATATATCCCGGGTTCCTCCCCCGTGGTGTTGCAGTTTCCAGACTTATCATACCCCCATTCATGCGTAAAGCATCACACGGCTGCTTAGAGGTGCCCATGTGTAACCGTCTAGCTACTGATTTACCTTCCCTTTGGCCCTTAACTTGCTAGGGGTTACCCGCCGGATCAACAGAAGGGCATGCTCGCCTATTTGCTGGGGCACCTGTCCTACTCATGTGTCTCACCCAGACTTCGGTAATTTAACGCCACAGCTTGACCTATGCACTCGAGGTCAGGGATAACCATTGAACCCCTTGTATTATCTACTTCTTGCCCTTATTAAGATTTACAACAATCCCAATACCCACATTTGGTACTGTTATCTTACCTGGATTCTTTATCGGTCCCTCTCTTACTTTCAGTCGGCAACCCAGAAGGGTTGGTCTGCTCAGGCTTTAGGTGCCTAAGAGATGCCCTCCTCTTGGTACATATTTTCGAAGCATATGCTCTTTTCCTCTGGTGCGACAGAACCCGGTGGTTCAGCTGGTGTATCCTCCGCCATTAGGACCTGGTCGTTCAGTTCTCCGATTTCGGGCCCTGGTTCGAATTTAGCCCTCATGTAGTACTGTCGTAGATTATCGCTATTCCTTAGCTTGGGACTTCCCAAATGGGTTTTCAGTTATTCCGGTTTCTCAGCTTTATTGCGTCATTGCTCCCATTACTAGATAGTGTGACTGAAGTTACAGATTTATTTAAGATCCAACCGATAATCATAACTATTAACCGTAATGCAAGCCTATTTTTTAAAATTTGTCATCTATGGGATTTGAACTCTAGACCTGCCACTTGAAGAGGGTGACGACTAAACCACTACACTAAGTCACCACACCTCTAGTAATTAATATTCACTTTATTTAAAATTTTTTTAATAAATATATAGTTGCAAAATTACAACAAAAAAACTGTATTTATTAAAAAATATTTAGTTCAAATAATTTAAATATTGTCACAAGCTAAAAGGTAGATTGACGAATCAGCATAGCAAACTTATGACTTCAAGCAAATCGATTATCGAAATTCCAAATTGACTAGTACATGAGGCTTACTGACCAAATATCGGAAATAATAACTAACGTGAAATTCGAAGAAGAATTCCAAGAAGAACAAATGAAGATCTAAAGAGAAGAAAACAAGAATCAAGAAATAATTAGAAATAGTTAAAATAGAAATTGTTGTAAAGGCAAAGCCTTATTATTATAATCAATGTTGTACTTATC